AACTGACGTAATTTGTGCGGGCTTGGCACGTCTTGTTGTGAAGTGATTCATCAAGTTGTGAAGTGAATCAACAAGATGCTTCCGTCTTATTGATTAAACTTCCTTCGAAGAAAATTTACCGAAATCACAATGAAATTTGTGGGAATAAAATTTACATATGGAAATTCACCGCCCGAAATGAAAATTAACTATCGATCAAAGTCCTTTCCTCGACTCGCAATTCAACGTTCGCAAATAGCAATTTTATATCGCGACATTTCCCAAGCTTTTGTGTGCGTTTTGACGGAAAAAATATTTCTCCTCTAAGATCTCACTATAAAGACTGTGTTTAAAAATTTATAATCTGTTTTAACCTATATTCCCTCGATATTTTCTGTGTTGTTGTAATGTACTCGGGTGAATATGATGCTTGTGATGCTGCTCTGAGACCCCCGGTTCACACGATACCGGCAGAGTATGCCGTGTGAACGCCTAACCGTAAGAATTTCATTACGGTTATGCAAAATGAAATTAACAAAACTGCAAAAGTTGTTGTTGGATATTTTATTCTTTTTATTTTAACTGATTTTTGGCCTCCCCGGGCCAAATTTCGTAGGAAATATGGCCCTCTCTTCGGAAATTTGCCCCCCTCTAAAAAATTATAGTTTCAGCTAATTGTCTTTTGGCTCGGAAATCGCAAAGCTTCTACTAAAACCAAATTTCTAGAAATTTTTCCCAACATTTATAGTTAGTTTGCGTATATTTTTTGTGTCAAAACAAAATTCTCACTGAATTGCAATACTGACGAGAATTAGGCCAAGAGAATTGCTTACAACACTGACGGATTTTATGTAGCTGCTGCATGTAACCTTTGTATTTTTTGCGTGTTTGCGGAATGTTTTTGTGAGTCATCCAAAGTTTGCGGAATGTTTTGTTAGTCATTCAAACCTTTGTGATTTTCTGTGTGCGAATGTTTTTGTGAGCCATGAAGCATGCAGTCTACTTCCGTTTTTACGGAATGCTTCTGTTGTGCGTCGCAACCATATGAGCGATTATATATATTGTGTATATGTAAGTAAAATGCATAGATTAAAAAAGTTTTTTTACGAAATAACCACTCATTTGATTTTGTTTTTCGAACAAACGTCTAAAAATCGTTTCGTATCCTTAGTTAAAGCTAAGCCATTATGGCATTAACGTTGTCCTCAACAGATACCGCATGTGTGATGTGTCTGGCATGACGGCACTAGCACATTATTATTATTACGCTTTCCTTCAAACTTTTAGTTCTTGGCCGCAATGAAGGATTTCGACACAAATAAATTATGCAAACTAACTATAAATACTGACAAACACTTTTAGGATCTTGGTTTTAGAAGAAGCTTCACGATTTCCGAGCTTATAGCGATAAAATAAACTATGTTTTCGAGGGGGCCAAATTTCCGAAAAGGGGGCATATTTCCTAGGAAATTTGTCCGGGGGGGGCAAAGTTGGGAAGGGGGATTTCCTGGGACACCGATATAGTGTGAACAGTTGAAACCGTGATGATTTTCTGCCGGCAGAATTCCATGCCGGTATCGTGTGAACGGGGTCTGAGTGTATATCCACAACGGGCAAGCTTGAAAAATATGCCTAACCACGGTGGGAATCAAACCTAATTGAACCGCGTAGCTCAGTTGGCAAAGTTGGCAGCGCACTGGGCTAGTATTCCAAAGGTCGTAGGTTCGATTCCCACCGTAGTCAGGCATATTTTTCAAGCTTGCCCGGTGTGGATATACTCATATACACTCAGAGTAGCATCACAAGCATCATATTCACCTGAGTACATTAACAACACAAAAAAAATCGAGGGAATATAGGTTAAAACAGATTATAAATCTTTAATTTTATAGTGAGATCTTAGAGGAGAAATATTTTTTCCGTCAAAACGCACACAAAAGCTTGGGAAATGTCGCGATATAAAATTGCTATTTGCGAACGTTGAATTGCGAGTCGAGGAAAGGACTTTGATCGATAGTTAATTTTCATTTCGAGCGGTGAATTTCCATATGTAAATTTTATTCCCACAAATTTCATTGTGATTTCCGTAAATTTTCTTCGTAGGAAGTTTAATCAATAAGACGGAAGCATCTTGTTGATTCACTTCACAACTTGATGAATCACTTCACAACAAGACGTGCCAAGACCGCACAAATTACGTCAGTTCAAAACATGTCGTGTCAGTTCACGTGGACGCGAATCATTTCACATTTAGTTGAATCATTTCACATTTAGTTGAATCATTTCACATCGTGTTGAATCATTTCACATCTTGTTGAATCATTTCACATTTAGTTGAATGATTTCACATTTAGTTGAGTGATTTCACATAGTATTGAATCGTGTCACATCTAGTTGAACGATGTCGCATTTAACTGAGTGATTTCACATTGCATTGAGTCGTTTCACATTTAGTTTATTTATTCCACATAAGGTTGAATCACGTCCCATCTAGTTGAATCATTTCGTATTTAGTTGAGCTATTTTAAAACACAGCGGATGGTTCCAAAAAAGCATGAATTATTTGCCAACCGAACGTGTCACTTGTATACGACCTGCTAAGTCATTGCAAAATATGCCAAGCCATTTCACTTGAACTATATGAATCAGCGCAATAATAGACGAATGAATACACAATCAAGTGAATCGTTTCAATTTTAAACAAATCATTTCTGTTCTTGTCCGGTCATATCACTACGTTAGGTTCAAGCATTTCTAAACATGATGACTCGTTCGTGTTTGTAATGAATGATTTCTGTTTATGTCCATTCATTTCACACGTGTAGTATTTTTGGTGGTAACGGCCGCCCATACTCCTCCGCAGTCGGGGACGACCGGAAGCATCTGGGAGGAGGTAGCGCATGAGGGCACAGAAATAACAACTCGCCTGATTAGGGTACAGGCGTACTGCCCACTGGTATATGTCAAGTTAACACAGATATTATGCCGCTCATTTTTTCGGAAATTTTCAAACGTAAAATATGGTGAAATTTCGTTGACATTGCTAAATCGGAAAAATTATAGACTAAATGGCTACTTTCAAATTGTCTTTAGGAACATAATAAAACAAACTGAAATCATATTTTCGCTTGCTACTCTGGTTTATATAAATTAATACAAAGCCCAGTCGAATTGTAATCAACACCCAACGTTTCGACACTCCAGTCTAGTGTCTTCATCAGGGGTGATCTAAAAGTAACGTGATGTAAGAACCAAAATAACTCCGAGGCTGATACCTCCGCCAAGGGTTGTGCAATAGTTACATACATTCGAGGTGGCACAGAACCAATCAAAAGAATCTTAAGTAATTGTAATAGTAATTACGGGAACCACTGAGTATTTTTATAAAATACAAATTAAAGGACAGTAACTCCAAATAACATTTTGTAGCTTTAATGAATCTACGTTTCGACTATATTTTAGTCATCATCAGGACAGACCGTCTGTCCCGATGATGATAAAAATATGGTCGAAACGTAGATTCATTAAAGCTACAAAATGTTATTTGGAGTTGCTGTCCAGTTTTGTATTGTAATAGTAAGGTCGCCTTAAAACACTATTTGACTTTAGGCCATATTTTCGCAAAGTCAAAAGATCCTGTTGTATATTCTATACCATGCGGTGACGCGACTTGGGTCAGTCTAAACGCCAGTTTGGTACACGGCTAAAAAAAAACATCAAAAGGCTGTTTCAACTTTAGACTAGCCTGCGAACAGGCTCTCAAGCTGAATTGAGAGCCTGCATCGTTGACTAATGAATTTGAATATCTGCCCCGTAACGTTCGTTTTTCCAAATATGGAATGTATATCCTTATATGGTGTTGTTGACAACTTTCGTGCAAACTAAATTTAGACCGTGCAAACTAAATTTAGACCGTACAGTTTATACTGTTTTTCGAAATATAAGATATTGAAGCAAAAGTTCAAATGTTTTAAATACTGTTTTCTCAAAACAGAACATTTCGTGCTTTAAGATAAGATGGTCAAGACCAATTTGATGTTTTTTATGCATAGTGCTTCAGCAGTTGACATATATAGAGCTCAGCGAAAACATATAAATTATAGCATCTGACCAATGAGAATTTCGCGTCACGATTTGAGACGCAGATATTCAAATTCATTAGTCATCGATGCAGGCTCTCAATTCAGCTTGAGAGCCTGTTCGCAGGCTAACTTTAGACAAGACAAGGGGAAATCAGCTTTAGCAGAACATGTGTGACACCAAACACAATATTGTGTGGGAAAACTCTAAAGTATATATTACCACATACAATCGCTATGATGAAAAAGATGCATATAAAGCGTGGCATATGAATATGAGTAATCATGCTTTCAATAGGGATGACGCTGCCTATTTGCCAGAGGGATACATGCATCTTATTGGCAGAAGACGTCATCCTTTGGCATTTAAGAAGCCACATTGCAACTTTAGATCACCCCTGATGAAGACACTAGACTGGAGTGTCAAAACTTTGGATCTGGATTGCAATTCGACTGGGCTTTGTATTCATTTATATAAACCAGAGTGCCGAACGAACAAACTTTAAATCTAAACTGAAATAATATTTACAAGAAAAGTGTCTGTTGCATGTAAATTGAAATTCCGCTTCCGGCCACAATTGCTGACACAGCCACTTATAAAAGGTATTTAGCTTAGTTCGACAACATCTAAACATTAACATCGTACTGGTAAACAGGTAAAGTTCGACGACGGACGACCCAGAAGCGTTAACTATATCAATCAAAACAAAGCTTTAAAAGCGAAACGGCGGTCAAAGCGTTAAAAATGACAGCAAAATGCGAATGATCGGACGAACAAATGCTATATTAAATTAAGAACGGACTATATACTCGAATATGCTCCGATTGTAAGAATTCACATTCAGTTTGCGCCTTGTAGTTCTGAAGATTCAGTTGTCTTGTAGTTTTTAAGATTCGAAAATCAAATTAGGAGTAGAAACGTAATACTGTAAAGTGCAAAGTCGCATAAAATAACTTACACTGCACATACTGCTAGCATTTGTCTTGAATCGGAAACTATTACAAACTCACAGTTTCTTCTTTTGTCAAGCGACTTGATGCGCTAAATCCAATTAAAGATAGGCCTATAATATCGGTTGAATCCCACGCAACAACGAAACACGGACATACTGTGTTTATTGAAAAAGCTTGTTCTTATACAGAGATCTATATAGTGGTCCATTGTAACTATACCGGACGAAACCTAAAATGGACTCAATTTATTTATACTATATAGAGTACTTGTTTACATCTTAATTGTATATTTATCCTTACTAAGGAGTAAACTCTTACAAAATACTGTATGCTTAAATTTTTCATTGTCAACCTTTGTGATACTATAATTTGGTTTTGGAATTCCACCTCCATTAGTCAGTGATTAAACTGTTGTTCATCGAAGTCCAGTGTAAGGAAATACTAAAGTAGACTACTTCATTTGATATACTCAGTGGATAAGTTTTAATTTCGCCGCGGCACTTGCTTGTTTGATTGCATGCCGGAAATATATTTGTTCAGCCGTTCAGAGTATTTGTGGAAACATCACGTTTATTTTGTAGCTTTTGATCTGTAAGCTTGCATCGATCTTCACCAGTGCCGCTATTAGTGTAGCAACAATGATCGAAATCTTCAACAAAGCAGAGGTAAATAGATTAGCGTGTTCACAATTCAACAAAATAAAACGAAACATTTACAATTATATCTGTTTTCACCACGCAAACTTACAAGGTCAAGGATCTTATTAATGTGTGCAAGATAACGAAATATCTTTTAAAAGCACAATACACTAATTATTAAAAAAAAAGCCACACAAATTGCTTGAGAACAACTACATTTTTATCTTCAAATTACAGAAAAAAATTCGAAAGTTCTTTAATTAAATTAATGTTTAGCTTTGGCGTAATTGCCTGAATGTCTATACAAAGTCTTGTGTGATATTTGCCCATGCAGAGTTTACTACAGTGGTAACGAAATTCAAGTCAGCATTTAGGCGGAAAGAACATGTAAAACTATAAAATAACTGTTATAGTGGTCAATTTTAGTCTAGCTTATCTTTTTTCGTTCTCGAGACATTTGGGCTATTTATACGGAACAAAATAAGACGCGACGTACATAAGACGCGACTTAAGTAAGACGCGAGTTTGTCGTATAAAAGGTACAAAATTCTTATGTAAGACGCGTCTTGGATAACTTTAGCTGTTCTTATTTAAGTCGCGTCTTATGTAAGTCGCGACTTATTTTATCCCGTATAAATGGCCCTATTGTGTTTTATTTAATATGAAAATAAAATAAATCTATGGCATTACGAACGGGTAAAGTATTAGTTTCAAAGGTAGCAGTCTCGTCAAAGGTTCAAAAGTGATGAAATAGTTCAAGCGACTATATAATAATATAATAGGCCTATTTATACGGAACAAAATAAGACGCGACTTACATAAGACGCGACTTAAATAAGACGCGAGTTTGTCGTATAAAAGGTACAAAATTCTTATGTAAGACGCGTCTTGGATAAGACGCGTCTTACATAAGAACAGGTCTTTTAGCTGTTCCTATTTAAGCCGCGTCTTAAATAAGAAATTTTGGACAAAAAGTCTAACTACACATGCCAGAAACTTGAAACAACGTAAAATTTAATGCCTTGCATATTAAAACAAAAACAACCAAAACAACATTATAGCTATAGCAAATAAATAAGATCAAAGCCGTAGAGAACCATTTATGTGATAACTCCACTTATTTAAGTCGCGTCTTATGTAAGTCGCGACTTATTTTGTCACGTATAAATGGCCCTATTGTTGACTTGTTTTACCAACGTGTATAAAGAAAGTTATGCAGCAAGCAGGCACTTTTGGTTTATAAAGTTGGTTTAATTAAAGTTTCCTCCTGCATGTAGCTGGTGACACACTCAACCAATGAAAGATAGTTCTTACCTTTAGGGAGAAGAAATTAGAACTGACAATAAACAGGTTAAAGTTTCCTATATAGCTTCTGTATACTTGCGTGAGTATGTATTTTTTTTATAATAAACGGAGGAAGTATTTTGTTTTTAATTTTCTTTGTTCAGAAAAAGGGCGGCAAACATTTCAATTTCTACAATTATAATGTCTGGTTTTAGAATTCCATTTTATATTGTTATTGCGAAACGACCAACCCCCTATAATAGACCCTCTATTTATAGAAAAAAGCTACGCCTCCGCAAATATTTCATGTCCTTAATTACCATGAGGCCTGCCAAAACAATCTACACTCATATTAGTATAGTATGTCCGTGTTCCGTGGTTGTTGCGTGGGGTTCAATCTATATTATCTTCAATTGAGTTACCGCATCAAGTCGTTTGACTTATAACGAGAAACTGAGACTTTTTAATCGTTTCCGATTCAAGACAAATGCTAGCAGCATGTGCAGTGTATAAGTTATATTTTGTCACTTTGCACTTTACAGTATTACGTTTTTACTCCTAATTTGATTCCCGAATCTTAAGATCAACAAGACAACGTCGTCGGGTACTCAGTGTTTATATTGTTAAACGCGAACTCAATGCCAATTCTTACAACTGGAGCATGTTCGAGTATAGTCCCATATTTAATTGTCACTTATTTACTGAGACTGAGGGAAACAGTATGTTTTGTGGACCCGAGACCGTCGATATTTTCCAAGGCGAAGCCGAGGGAGTCATCGACGGTCGAGGGTCCACAAAACACACTGCTTTCCCGAGGTCTCAGTAAATAAGTGTTTTATTATATATCAATAGTCCAAGAAACAACAAATTAAAGAACAAATGAACGTAAATACATGAAATATTTTATTGTTAAAACGTGATATTAAACACTAGCTGCACTGCAGTTACTTAAAGGAGCAGTGCCACCGTGTGCGCATCTCTTCTGCGCATAACAAAACTTGAAAACGTCGGCTGACGTTTTCAAGTTTATGATTCAAGATGGCGGCCATTTGGGAGTGAGCGCATTGCAATAGAGGCAAAAATTTCGGCACATAGATGTAAATACACGGCTGATGAAACTCACAAAATACTGGAATAGGCAGCACAAAAGCTTATACCGATTCCTGTATATATTTGAGGCAAAAATCATGATAAATCGGGACGAAAATGGAGGCTTGATAAAGTTCACGAAGCGATATCGATTTCGCTGTCCATTTACTGTGGTTGAAATATCGTAAGAGGTAAAATAATTGAATCTATAAAGCTTCTAAATCAATTTGAAAATATATAGCATAGGTGTAGCGTCAATAGCGATTTCATGCATTCATAGCAACACCAGCGAATGACTTAATAGAGCCTCAGACAAATTGTAGTCAAACTAGAATTAAACTTTACTGCAATCAGGCAGTGCTCTTATCAATATAAAATACATCTATGTTTATATATAGAAACAGCAAAGACAGGCACAAAATGATAAATGTTGAACGAAACATGTATGAATATTCTTTGAATTTATATGAAGACCAACCAGAAATATACAATCTAATATTAGGAAATTTTCATAATTATGATTGTATTAATAATTACATATTGGCCATTCCATTCCACAAGTTATGTTGTTAATAGGGAGTGTAACAGGGAAGCAAGCCAGTGTGGGATATCCAAGCTAGCTTGCTTTACAATGACAAGTTTCATGCACCTTAATATATTATTGTTTATTGATCGTTTAGCCTTGATATTATTACTTACTATCTAGGCAAAGTGTTTAACCTATTCAGTAGGCAGACTGAAGCTCACCCACATATATTAATACTCACTTTTTTTGTTATTGTTTACACTTCCATGGCAAAAGCAAGGTGGAATGATTTGGTTACCAGAAAATATCATGCAAGGACCAGGTGATGAGATGTCAGAGTGCCATAAGTGCAACCTCGTTCCCAGGGCTTCAGTGTTAGGACGAGGAGAGACACGAGGAAGCCCTGGTCCGGACCGGTCAATTTTGCATTCTGATTGGGTAACACCATATTGTCTAAAAATAACTGAACTTGACGGTTGACAATAACAAATTACATGCACAATTCAACATTTGTATTTTTATGATTCTTGTGTGTACGAGTATGCTTTGCAAAATAATCTTTCAAAGTAAGACGTTTTCCCGACTGCACGATTTACTTTCGCCTCGGCCGGTTACAAAACTCAAAAGCCGTGTCGAAGTGAGCTGTGATGTTTCCTGACAAAACAAGAAATGTCTACTATTATTTAAGTTTTCCTTGTACAGTATTTATTAGTGCAGATGTCTGATGAAATACTACGCGTATTGCATTGTAGTAATATTTTAATTTACAATATTCTGTACTGACAAATAAAAGCAAGACAAACAATTAAATGAAACTACTAAATTAATTTAGGCCCTGTTTACTTAATAGCTCTACGCCTAGGCCGATGTAGTCTACAAGATTCGCACGCCACCCAGTTTTTCAGTTTCAGAATACGCCGAATACTTGAAAAATGCGACTATACGATAAAATAAAACAAAGATTGTGAACGGGATAAAATTTGTAGGCAAGCATTGCTCCTGAACGGCAAGTGTTGGTGTCCGGCGAAACAAGCGAACCGTATATTCCTGTACAGAGTAAACAGGTTACGCGAGGTTTTATATTTGTGTTTATTTAATATATTGAACTAAGTCAGCTCTATAACTAGTATAAGAGCATATTTAAACTAAATATTAATTATAGCAATAGCCATATTGTTCAAGACGAGAGAAAGGAAATTTCGTGTGAATCACCACTTGCATGGAGACGCCTAGATGCAGCTTGGATGCAGAGCTTTGCCTGTAGTTGAAAATCTCCAGAAATATCGGTATATCTTAGAAAACATAGACGGAATCTTCATAGATTTTAGCTGATTCGTGTCAAACTTCGCTCTACACATAAATAATATCGATTGAGAAGTCTTTTGGCTATTTATTTGTTTCGAAGACTTGTATATTTCATTAAAGAATATCTCGCCACTCCTTGACGAGTAGCTGTCAAATACTGCCATTTTTTGACGTCACGTGACCGGCCCGGACCAGGGCTTCCTCGTGTCTCGCCTCGTCCCACACTGAAGCCCTGGGAACGAGGTTGCCATAAGTGCTGACGTCCAGAATTTGAAAAGGCCAGCCCATTTGGATATTGCCCTAAATAATATCTGTATTACCCGATGACTAGGAAGGCACAGGGATATTGCAGAAAGCAACCTAATACCGTTCACTCAACATGGTCAATGGGCAAGTGAACTAGGTGAGGCTGTCCTCATACAACTAATGCACCTATCAATGTTAAGCCCCAGAGGGAGGGTGGACATAGGTGGGGCATTTGATTTTTTGAGCAAATTTTCAATCAAATGCCCCACCGTCGGGCAATAAATATTGGTCAAATACCCCACCATTTTGCAATAAATACTATATTAATAAGTCATAATCGGTTCAAATTTCCCCAACTTGGGGCCAAAATGGTAATCGAAATCCCCAGGTGGGGATGCAATTGATGATCAAATACCCCACATATGCCCGAACCCCCCCCCCCTCTCTGGTGGTTAACATTGATAGGTGCATAAAGGTTTATTTATTGCAATAACTATTAATACACAATTAATTTTATATTCAACATGTGTTTGTACAATAAATTATCATGTATTTTTTAAATATTGATAAAATAAAGTTTTTGGGAATATTTTACTTGGTTGTACTGTAATATAGACTAAATAAAGTTGATGTTTCTCAGTGGTTGATTTATTGTGTGGTGATTACTATCAGAGACATTGTACTGCAAGACGTCCAGTTATTCTTTTGCAATAGACCTTCTGCATAATGATGTCACAAGGCTTGATGCCTGTGAGGAATGCTGGTCTTAGTACTCATCGCCTAGAAAAATTAAACAATTTATCCACTATCGACATTTTCCTGGGCAATGATTACTAAGACCAGCACTCCTTGCAGACATTTTGTGACATCATTATACATAATGTTTGTTAGACTGTTCTTCTATAATTCCCAATTTCTTCTGTAGTTGTTAGTTGTGAGTGAGCAATAGTTGAGTAAATCCAGTAAAGCTTGAACCTGAGCACCATTGTCTCCCTGGGTTATATGTTCCACGTCATTTGACCTTGCTTTTACCTAACAGTCAGAAGGTTAAGGATGGAAAATAATGAATTGGTGGGTATTTGTAGGCAATATTCTTCAGGGTATTTTATCACATACATATGTACATATTAGTAATATCACCACTACTCCCTTTTCAGTGTTAGTGTTCTGGTTAGTACTTTTAATCATGCCGGGTCTACTGAGACCAAACCAAATAGCCACAAAATTGAAAAGGAAGGTGCAGGTAGTGTTTAAAGTGAGTAAAGATAAAGGGTATCAATTCGACTCTTCATTCCCAACGTTTGGTAAAGTAAGCCATATAACATAAATGCATGCCATGCAACATGTGGCATTGTCCAATATACAGAGTAAGAATTTATACAATGTATGAACATTTCCTAATACTAAACTATATTTTTGGTCAGTCTTCATGTCAGTTCGAAGAATATTAATGACTTGTTCTACATTAATCATTTTGGGCTTTTCCTTGTTGTTTATATTCATAGCTAGATGCGCTCAGTTATCTTCAGCACTGCCAGATTGCAGCAAAGTTATTTCGCCTGGACTATATGATTTGTCTGACGCTCTAGCTAAGTCTTTCGCTCATGTTGTTAATACTACAAATGCCTGAAATCGCTACACCTACGCTATATATTTCTAAATTGATTTAGCTTAGTTATGAATTCAATTATTTTACCTCTTTTCAACCACAAAGATATTTCAACTACAGTAAATGGACAGCGAAATTGATATTGCTTCGTGAACTTTATCAAGCCTCCATTTTCGTCCCGATTTATCATGAATTTTGCCTCAAATATATACAGGAATCGGTATAAGCTTTTGTGCTGTCTATTCCAGTATTTTTTGAGTTTCATCAGCCGTGTATTTACATCTATGTGCCGAAATTTTTGCCTCTATTGCAATGCGCTCACTCCCAAATGGCCGCCATCTTGAATCATAAACTTGAAAACGTCAGCCGACGTTTTCAAGTTTTGTTATGCGCAGAAGAGATGCGCACACGGTGGCACTGCTCCTTTAAATTTACCAAAAGTGCACTAGTCTGGAAATCTACCTGAAATTCCTCATGAGCAATTATCAGGGGTGTTGCTCCCCCCCCCCCAGTGAGTTCCAAGCAAACACTCTCTGATTTATTGTTCGTGTATTTCACCTGCCAAAATATTGTGCATCATACTATAGAGCATTTTGCTGTTGTCATCCTCTAGCATGGTTCAAATTTATGAATTTTTATTATATAAAGTATTGTGTTTTACACAGATTTCGAGCACTGATAAAAATGATAATCTCACATGTGAAATTATTCATGATAATCTCACATGTGAAAATTATCGCCTTTTCAATTATCGATTTTCTGTAAAAATTATCGCTTTTCATTTAAGACTGTCCTTTATATAATAAACAGAAAAATACATGGGGGGTTGGAAATACCAGATTTCTTTTTCGTGTTGAACATGACATCTCACTCGTTCGCTGCGCTCACTTGTTCGCTGCACACTCATGTTCAACACTCGAAATAAATATGGTATTTCGTACACCCATGTATTATTATCTATTTAAACTACAACTTGACTGGTTTAAATTATTATCAAGTTATCAGTGATTGTAAAAGTTGCAGATAGAAGTGCTTTGTTTTACATTATTATCAAGTTATCAGTGATCGCAAAACCTCCAAATCCTTAATTTCAAATGTTAGAATGTTAGGGTTTGTAATCCAAGTGAGAATATATACATTTTAAGACCTAACCAGGAACGACTGCAAAAAATGCAGCACAAGGTCCTCTGGTAGGAATTGAACCTACGGCCCTGCGATTCCGGTGCACTAGCGCTCTAACCAACTGAGCTACAGAGGCCAGCAGTTGAGCTTTAACCGTAAGTTCATGTATATTTAGGTAATCGGGTGTGCGGGTTGTGATAAGGTAGACTTCAATAATTTGGATTCTTGCATTTCACTTGTTGGAATTAATATTAGAATGGTAGGGTTTGTAATCCAAGTGAGGATATATACATTTTAAGACCTAACCAGGAACGACTGCGAAAAATGCAGCACAAGGTCTTCTGGTAGGAATTGAACCTACGGCCCTGCGATTCCGGGGCAGCGCTCTAACCAACAGAGCTACAGAGGCAAGCTGTTGAGCTTTAACCGTAAGTTCATGTATATTTAGGTAATCGGGTGTGCGGGTTATGATAAGGAGGACTTCAATAATTTGGATTCTTGCACTTCACTTGGTGGCCTTAATATTAGAATGTTAGGGTTTGTAATCCAAGTGAGAATATATACAATTTAAGGCCTAACCAGGAACGACTGCGAAAAATGGAGCACAAGGTCCACTGGTAGGAATTGAACCTACGGCCCTGCGATTCCGGTGCAGCGCTCTAACCAACTGAGCTACAGAGGCCAGCTGTTGAGCTTTAACCGTAAGTTCATGTATATTTAGGTAATCGGGTGTGCGGGTTGTGATAAGGTGGACATCAATAATTTGGATTCTTGGACTTCACTTGTTGTAATTAACATTAGAATGTTAGGGTTTGTAATCCAAGTGAGAATATATACAATTTAAGACCTAACCAGGAACGACTGCGAAAAATGGAGCACAAGGTCCACTGGTAGGAATTGAACCTACGGCCCTGCGATTCCGGTGCAGCGCTCTAACCAACTGAGCTACAGAGGCCAGCTGTTGAGCTTTAACCGTAAGTTCATGTATATTTAGGTAATCGGGTGTGCGGGTTGTGATAAGGTGGACATCAATAATTTGGATTCTTGGACTTCACTTGTTGTAATTAACATTAGAATGTTAGGGTTTGTAATCCAAGTGAGAATATATACATTTGTATATTCTCACTTGGATTACAAACTATTCTCATTTGGATTACAAAATATATACACAAAATATATACATGTACTTTACATTTGTATATTCTCACTTGGATTACAAAATATTTTCACTTGGATTACAAACCATAACATTCTAATATCAATTCCACAAGTGAAGTGCAAGAATCCAAATTATTAATTCAAATGCCCCGCCGGGGCTAAGGTTCGAGTGGAAATGCCCAACCCCCGGGATGTGCTTTACCGCAAAAATGGCTGGGCAAGGGGGATGGGCACACTTGGATTTGGCTGATGCATTAAAAGTCCTGTGCTTATTCCAGACTGTTTGTCAAATAATTACTTGCTAGAAGTAGAAATTTACTGTGACCACTGGATGAAGAAGACATTAAATAAGTACTGGTCAATAAACAGAAATGTATTTTATTTCATAGTATTACAATTTTATTTTTATACTATAAAAATAAAATATAAACATGCAGCATAGAATATGCAAATTCGAGGCAAAATTATTGTTGAACCGGTTTATTTATAGGATTTTATAACAAATAGCAACTATAAAATTTGTACATTGTCTTCACATCGCTTTATTCTGTTAGGCAATGCTTTTAAATTTACATATTTTAGAATCAGTTCCTTTCCTGGTAACTGCTTTTCTAAATGAAACCATCGTGTGTAGTGAGTGCTGAGCAGGTCGTTTTAATATATAAACATATTTTAGGAATTGATAACAACTTTGAAAAATATATCGTTGCACGTTCACAGTCGGAAAAATGTTCATAGTATGTTGTACCGTCATTTGCAACTAACGATGAACAGTCGCTCATAAAAACATTCGCGTGATTAGAATCTTCAATGTTTGTCAAGAACAACAACACTTAATTGTTGTTTCCCATGTGTGCAATAATAAGTAACAAAACTTTGTGTGGTCTGAACGTGTTGGGCTAGAGACCTAGTGGAAACTTTTACAGGCTTTTTAATGAGAATAGAGAATGTTTTATCTGCAACTGTTCACCCTTAGTTGCAACCGACGGTATTTGACAGCGTAAAATTGCCTGTGGCTGTGATAACTAATATAAATAAAATACAGTCTGGTTATACTGACTTGAACATGTCATGGCAAACTCTTTATTGGAAAATTGTGAAGAAATAGTCGAATATAGAGGGTCGAATATCAAAGTTCAACTTGTATAGCTTCAGTATCATTGGTACATAGCGTTGTGAAGACAAGCCTTTGCTTACCTTTCGCTCCAGCAGTCTTTTTTTTTCCATGCTTCTATACGCTTTCCCAGGCGAGCTTCTCTTTCCTCAGCAGTCTCCTCGAGCAAACGTTGTCGTCTTCGCTCCTTCCTTTTTGCTAGACGTTCGGCTTTCTTGTCGTTTCCTTGCCGCTCTTCATTTGGCTCCATGCATATCTTTTCAACTGGTATTTGATACCGTAATTTTTTTATTAAACTTTTTATAGGAAAAATTGCTTTGAAAGCTGTCAAAGTTTTTTGCAAACGTACAAAATACCGTAGTGTAAAAAGCAAATTATTTTCATGAAGTATCTGTCAGTTGAAGTCGTCATTTGTCATACAATAAGAAATTTTAAATTTGACCAATCAGTGTTCGCTATCCATGACAGTCCGCCATATTTTTGAGATCAGTGAGGATGACCACCCACTCAAGGTTCGTTGGTCACGCCCGCGATATTTGATGAACTTTAGACTTGGCTAATGCTTTCGTTTCCCCCGGTGTAAATAGCCGGGGGGAATTAGTACCCTCGCACGGCGCTTTGCGCCGCCGGCTTGGGGATGAAGTAGGTATATTATCTTGGTTTCTTATTTTATCTTATGTTATCTATTATCTTGACGGATGGACCAATATTGGTGGGGCGTATTACTGATCAAGTATGAAACATTTCAGCCGCTACAATTAACCTTTCGCCCCAAAAAATTGTTGGCGAGCAGGGAGGGAGGCAGGGGGTGACTTGCCATTTTTCAGCAACTTTCGAATTAATGAACCGTAATTTGCTAATATTTTCGGTAATATTTTCGTTATTTTAAAACATAAATTGTAATATCTTAATTTTGTTTTTCAATATTAAAATCTATATTTTTTTATATTTTCCAATGTTTTAATTAGATATATATTCCGAGATAGCATGGGCCCACAACAAGTTCTCGTCGGCTTGTCCCCAGCCAGCATGTCCCCGAAACTCTACGTAAAACGTTTTTAAATGTGAATTGAAATTGACTATTTTTTAACAAATATTTATAAACTCCTGAACTCGAGCTTAAGCTTATTACTCGCACTTTGAATTGAAATAAATTTAATTCGTACAGGACGCTAATGAAAATAATTTACTTTACTTTCTATCAATACTATCATGAACTTCTACAAATGTTGATTTAGCTAAGAAACTTTCGCAAACAATGCATAGAAAAGACGTGAACATCCAGAGCAACTTTGCTCTATATTAGTACCAAAGTCATACATAAACAATTGAAACAAACTTGCCCTATATTTTAGGACTTCTCATATTATATCAATTCTTATAAATATTTACGTTGACATATTGCAAAAAAGTTTTACAATTTGTTATGTCTTTTTTGCAATATGTTATGTGAAACGATTTCCCAAACTTTCTTACATGTATTTTTTAATATTTTTTGCCTTCTTCACTCCTGGCAAACAGCCATATTTTGGAATCAGTGAGATGACCACCCATCGAAACACGCACAGTGGCCCGCGTCCGCGATCACTGATGAACTCTAAACTTCGCTAATGGTTTCGTTTCCCCGGGTGTAAGTAGCCGTGCGGAATTAGTACTCTCGCCCTGGGCTTACGCCCGGAACGGCGCTCCGCGCCGTTGGCTCGGGGATAAGAATTCGAAAAGGGCGCTTTGCAATGGGATTTGCATCTGCTCGCATTCCGCTTATTTTACTGTACATAAGCCTGAGTAGCAGTGTCTTTATTTCGTTGAAGGTTGTGAGGTAACCCGTAATTTATTGGAAAATCCGAAAAACCTTAGCGACTGCTATGCAGGCTAGCTGTATATTAGTATAGTCTAGATTTAATGTCCACCAGGGGCCGGTTGTATAAAAACGTAGTTAGCGCTAACTGTAGTTAGCGTTAATCACTGTAGTTAAATCCTTAACTGTAATTAGTTAACTACATGACTTAACTGCGTTGCACAAAACGTAGTTAGTCGGATAGTTAACTAATCACGTAGTTAACTGTGCGTGGGGCTTGCGTGGGGCGTTTAAACACAAAATTACATAAAGTAAGCAGCGAGTAACGACCGCTGTCACACATTTTCAACACGATTGTGGACTCGTATTTTGCAAATAGGCGGGAATTTTATTCAAAACACTAGAAAACAGTGAAAAATAAACAAAAAAATAAAGAAAAACCGCCACAAAAATCATAAAAGAATGCAGTTTTTCCTTGAAATGTCTACGTTAAACCAAGGCATAGCTGTTTGGCAATTATATATCAGTGTTTCTTGGTGTAATGGACCATACTTCGTCTTCGAGAAATTGTCCTGTGCAAAAATATGTTCTGTTTTCGTAAAAACACCAAAGCGATAGCGTTTGAAGAGTTTATATTGTCAGGAAACATTCACAGGGAAGATAGCGATTGAAAATCTCAGGTAAGCGTTGCTTTTCATTATTGTTTAACTGAAAAATGTTGTTCACTCCTATACAAACGCCATTTTTAACTACGTTTTGGACAGTTAACTATACCCTAAAGTATAGTTAACTTTAACTACTTTTTAACTGCAGTTAAGGCTAACTACACTTTTATACAACCGGCTTAACTACGTGATTAAAGTTAACTACTTTTTAACTACTTTTTAACTGCAGTTAGCGTTAACTACGTTTTTATACAACCGGCCCCAGACTAGTATATCTTAATGTATAATTTGATATGCATATTGTTATATCTCGGTTCTAAATATTTTCGGAACAATTTCTTAATTCCATTGTTCAACACACAAAAGTGAGAAATCAGTTAAGTCTGCTTAAGATAAGGCGAAACAAATATTTAATCAAATCTGAGGTTATTTATTTTCATTTCAAATACAAATACATAAACGAGAAGTTTAATCAAAGTGTTTAATCAAAAGTCAAGGAATAGTTGTTGTTTCCATTCAACGTTGAACATCCAATTACCCTTCGAAAAAAAGCCAGCATTTCTGATAAATTTCCTGCACCATCTTCTTTCTGAACATGTTTCGCATTTCCTCACCATTCCATTTTGTAATTGTTGTACCCGAATCGAACACGAGAGAGATTTCCTCGCCATTCTTTCGGAAATAGTCACTTTGTCCAAACACCAATGACGTCACACCGTTGTTGATTTCGTCACAGAGACAGAATTCTGGTATTGCATAGGGAATCGTTGCATATTCTTGAGAATAGTTAGCTTTAATATAAGCTTTCTTCACTTTCATAAGACCACCAATAGATTTAACTCGTGTTACTGTAATAGGAAATATATATGACTTCTTCTTTTGTCGTCTATCTTAGATTTTGCTGGTTGTCACGATTTGTTTTTTTTTCAGGTAGGGGGAGCTCAACCGATTGCTGCTGGGGTCAAGCTGCCGCAGTAAAATATATCTCCCCTAAGCAGCTTTTGCCTCACAGAAAATGCTGTTAATGATGTATGCATTACGCAATCTCGTGTCAGAGGATTATGTAAAGTGAAGCGAGATAACTAAACTGATGTAAAATAACGTAAGAAAATATAACCATGTGGCTATAACAGTAAATATACTCACGGTAACTAGTGCAGTTGATATTTTTGTCAAAGAGATCTTCAAAATCATCGACTGATAAACACTTTGGACATTCGTTTTCGACTACAGAGAAAGAGACATGTTACATATAAGCACCGGAATAACTAGAACTAACGCCATAGCCCATAAAACTTGTTACAAGATGCAGGGCTTTCTCATTAGTTCATGTGAATTTTTCATTTTGGTATTTCTTCCCATAATTATGTTTATGTATGACTGCAGAATGAGTATCTATTGTTAAATATTCATAATATAACACCTCATAAAATTCCGGACATTTAATTCCTGGATTGTTATCTCGTGATACGGTATTAAAATTCCATGCATTTTTCTCCCGCGTAATGTGACGCCTACTATTACGACCTATCGCACAATAGCGCATATGTACTTAAATATCAATTCAATCTTTCAAAATTATATTGTGATCGTGATTGTAGTTCATTCAACCATACGATTTCAATACAGAAACAGATGCAATTAAATTCCAATACATAATTCATGTAAGCAAAATGGCGTGTATAAAAATATAATATTTTTAGGATGATTTTTACGATAGAATAACCTTGAACCCTATATACTGATTTTCAGTGTATTCTATTTTCAGTAGTTTGGTATGATATCGCATGGCAGAGTGGAAATCGATCTTTCACCATGAACATATTTTTACCATTGGACTTAAAAAATTCAGTAGTACTATTTTTCAATCGTGCACGCCTAGCAATATTTTTGGATTCCCTGCAATCTGATTGGTTGCAGGGGTGGACATATATATTCTACTGATATTCAGTTGTTACTTCAAGCATTTTAACATAATGCGGTAAACACAATTTTTTTCTGGTTATTGAAATAATTTATCTAGATTTATCTTTGTGGTTTGATGAACTAAAAAAGAGAAATGCCAGCAAACTTACTTCTTTCCCCATAACAGTCTTTCTCCGCGATCTTGTACGTGACCTTGGCTTGACTTTCTATAGTGATATGAGAACAACAAAGAAATGAAAAATCAACAGGACATGCAACAAATAGCACTGAATATGTTCCAAGAAAGTGTACATACAGTACTGCTCAGAAGTAACATAATGAAAAACGCGTTCCGAACGCGTTCTAGGACGCGTTCCATAACGCGTTCCGGACGCGTTCTTGAACGCATTCCGCGAGACATTCCGAACGCGTTCTGGAAAGGTTTCATGATTCAGAACAAGCGAATCCTAATCAGTTCGACAATACTCGGAAATTATCGCAAATTTCTGATTTATAGCGTTCCATATACCATACTCCCTAGAAAAATTTCTTTCGAAGAGAATCAAACACTTTTTACAATGGGAAAGCTTTCTTGTATGCAATAAGTGCGCCTTGTAAATAGCGTTCCTACAATTTCGATATTAAAAATTGCACAGATGGCACGGTCTCTGTCAGAAAAATTTAGTTAGATATGATTCGCCTCGGCGAGATAAAATTCACGACTAAAATATCTTCTTTAATATCATCTGTAAAAACGCATGAATATTGTGTGCCGGAAGAGTTACTTCGGGCGAAGTTCTAGGCGAGCTATTAATGCGATTCAACTAGACCATAAATCAATCAATTCATACAACGCTTCTGTCATTTTCGATATTTTACACTTTAACTATATTTATAAAGTGTGTCGCAAATCCTGGCAGTGTCAATAGTTTTAATAACAAATATGATAAGACCAAACTTACCTCGCAAATGTTCATTAGAAGAATAAACCAGCCAGCGATATCATTCATATTAATTAAACATTTGTTGATAATTAAAAATTTGGTTTTATTAAAAATATGGTTTAATGTTTTGATCATACTAACACGTCAGAAATTCTTGTATTCGTATTATAATAAATCTCGCGTATATACAGGTGCTAAATCTAGAGCAAGGTTTACAAGAAAGACTGCATACATGTGATTATTGGAGGAAGTGTATCTATTCTAAAAATTAACATATGAATATATGTTTTTTTAGGTAATTAATATAACGCAATCAAACACTCCGCACTCCGTGTGCATAAATTACCAGCATGACTTTGTTTGCATGTGTGAAGGTTTAAAGACAACAAATCCTCTGGCAACCATCACAGTCACGATTTTTATTTTTATATTGAGATTGGGAGGCAATCTTTCTTGTAAACATTGTCCAGATTTATCACTTATATATACGCGAGCTGAGATTTATTATAATACGGATATACAAGCATTCCTGACGCGATAATATGATCAAACAATAAACCGTATTTTTCAATTCACACTGGATCAACATTTGTTTAATTAATAAAGATCATATGGCTTACTGGTTATCCTTCTGGTCATCATTTGCGAGGTAAGTTTGGTCTTGTCGCATTTGTTGTTAATTAAACTACATTGATACTGCCAAGATTTGTGACACACTTTATAAATATAGTTCAAGTGTAAAATATCGAAATTCGAAAATGACAGAAGCGTTTTATTCCAACGCATATATTATAGCATACATTCTAGTCCAGCTGATCAAGTCTTTTTTTCCGAAGAAAAACTCTTCCGCCACACAATATTCATGCCTTTTTATAGATTATATCTGTTGCCTAACTAAACTTGTCTGACATGCAGGGACGGTGCTATCTGGGTTGATTGTTTTGTCATTTATAGTATCCGGAATTTGCAGAAGAAAGAGAAATATCATGAGTTTCAAAGAGAAATATCGCGAGTTTCAGAATGCATTCAAGAACGCGTTCCGAACTCAAAGGGTTTGCGGCTGTCAATTTCCCGTTTGTAATCTAAAATGACTGAAAATTGCAAACTTCGCAAGGCTATATTTTCCGCATTTTACAACATTTCGCAACGAAACTTTGGAATATTACTAAATTTGTGATGCTCTTTCAAGCTCTGATGAAATTTTTGTTGAGATCAAAATTTAGTCTATTAGGCAAATGGTCAATTGGGATTAGTAATCGGCTATACGATTAGAATAAAGCATTATAGGTTGTAACTGAAATCAGGTTTCTGCGATGGAATTAAATAGTCTGGCGCTTTATGTAAGATTAACAGTTGGTATAATAAACAGTAAAAGCATAAAATCTGTCCTTACCTGGGTCATAATAATCGTAAACTTTGACAACACCTGGCTTCGTTTTTTTCACCAATGTACTTTGAATAATATCCAGGGAGAAACTCATCGTTTTTATCTGCAAAGGTAAATTAAAAGTCTTTCTTGGATATATGTCGTCCACGCGTCTTTCACTATTACGCGTATGTTAAATACAGCCTGTATAATATACTGACAAAAATATTTCCCCACATTGAATAAGCGATACAGATAGACAACATTTTTTTCTAGAATTGTAAATAGACTTTTTTATCGTTTTAACCTTTAGGTTAGAAAAATCCTGTGTTGGGAACTATGTTTTAGATTAAGTAATGGTACATATTTACTTACCTCATCAAAATAAAGAATAACATTCTGCCCTTCAATTTCATAACGCTTTAAAATGGCTTCATTCTCTCCTTCTTTGCTGGCCAAGAATTCAATAACATTTTCTGATTGTTTCAATTTCTAGAAAATTATTACCTTATGAGCATATGCTTATCTGGAAGAAACGATAGATGAAGGAAGACACCCTATACTGTCAGTGGAAGGACTTGAATGTCAGATAAGCTACCCAAGAAACACATAATCATATTTCTGCTTCAGGTGTTATTACTTAGGTGAAGATATATATGTTTATGGTTTGTCGCTGCATATGTCGACTCTGGCCAAGCTGAAGTTTGATTGACTACGGTGGGAATCGAACCCGCTCTAACAACTGCATTCAAGATCAAGATGTAGATTCACTATCGTGAAAACACACTAATACCGAAGGATGTAGAGTGACTTCCGAAAACCCACGCCTGCTAACCGACCTTGGCTTGTATATATAGCTCAATTGGTATGGAACATTGGACTTGCAAACCCGGCGCGACCTGCAGTACCTCCCTTTCAAGGCAATTACCTTCATAGAGTAAAGTATTGCCTAATGCATGTTGTACAATTTCAAATGGTTGAATAAATGAGCAGCTATTTGATTAGCTATATCATGACACATATAGCTATTCATATATAGCTGAATATAAATAACTATATAATGACACATATCATAATTTCAAAGATGGATGTACGATAAAATACATCATCGAAAACAAGGGATAATGTTGAAATGCACGGCCATGCTTGATTACACTAATTTATAAACTTACTTGTTGAAGAGCTTTTTCGTTTACTGAAAATCCCGAGACAAGCTTGACATCCACTATTGCCATGTTCGAAACATTTTCTTTAAGCCACCTAACGTAACGTGCGAGAAACAGTCGTCGATCATATAAAGGAATGAAACCAGCAATCTAGGGTGAGTATACCTGTTTACCTAGAACAGGTAACTTAAACCATATAGATAATGAGAATTGATTATACTGTAATTTTGAACTAAACTAGATCTCTATTTTACAACACGTCCTCGTTCGCATGAGCGGAATATCAAAAATATTCACTTCCTTTTTGTAAGAAAATCGAGCGGAAATTATAGAGTTGAAGAAAGATACATCAACTTGAATGTCCCACTTATAGTGTATAGATTCAAGTTTTTCGTTGCAATGACTTGTAACTGGTTAATAAGAAACGTCATATCCTGAAACAGTTCGGTGATTTTGCTTTTTTAAGATTCAAAACAAGCACACATCAACATGTACATTCTGCGTATGCTCAGTTGACATAGATTGATCTATTATACATCTGGTGCAATTGCTCAGGTGCAACTTTTGGGTACAGTTCTCGGAACGCGAATTTAACTAAACTTATCGTAAATGCTTAAAATAAAAAAAATTATAATTATATGAATGAGTAGTCTACGAAGACATAATGCTCTGGGAACTGAACAGAAGTCATGTATTACCGAGCAAGCAGCACTATATCCTCTCTATCCATACTATATCTACAATTAACGCTGCACAAAGAATAATTATTTTAAATTAGATGGTACAAACCTTGCTTCAATCTTCAACTGCAAGGGATAGCATGCCGCCATTTCTTCTTCATCAGTTGCTTCACGACGATGTACAGAAACGGCGACTTTAAAAGCTGGAACTTCGTCAGAGGCTGGAATGTTGTACTTGACATTAGTCTGGAGGAATAAAATACAAGCTAAGTCAAATTAATTAATTAAAGATGGGCACTAATATGATTTTTTTCGAGTAATGTTTCATCATTCCAGGAAGAAATGTAACACGTAATTAGAAATGATTTCGTTGGTATATTTTGTTCCAAAAAATAATATCAAAGTTAGCAACATGAATGGTAGAGAAAATAAAGAATTTTCTACTGAAAGGAATTGTTGAATTTATCGGAATTAGGCAAATATCAAACATATAGTATATTAAAAAACATCGAAAAGATACACGTACTGATATATACAAATTAATGACGCATACCCGAAAGTATATGTTATCATAGTGTATATATATAGTTTCATGGGTAAAATTTTTCAACTTCCTTGGGAGTTTGATTAATAAAAATACTACATCAATTCACATTTCTTATAAGCAACACCACTCAGTACAGTTCTCCAAATAAATAGCTTGAATATAATGAAATCAGAAAACCATATACTGCCTGTCCAGTACACCTTTGTCTCAACTTCAAAAACAGAACGTAAAAGCACATGTCCACCATGCTTAATTATGTTTTCCCCTGCACTGTTCAGTTTGCTGTACAGATGTTTTTTATTCCACTGTCTTTTCATTTGTGCAAACTTGGTTGAACCATTGGGATACACAGCCTTATCTGATTACATAGGCGAATTAAATTACATGCGATTGTAGTCAAACATGAAAAGTGTACTAACATTTCGGTTGAAGAACGTTAATCGATAACCTATACTTTATACATCCAGAAGAATATCCAGAGACGATGCATGTAGACATAAAAAATTAGCTTAGACCGATTTTTCTCACCTGCATTAAAGCGCATCCATTTCCAGAAGCACTGATTGCTAGGGAATTTGGCAGAAGGTCATTTGGAATTTCTGCTCGTTGTAATACCAATTTGTTTTTTCCAGTGACCGTGAAATCTTGAGTGAAAATATTCTTTATATTCGCAGAAACAGTAAGGTTCGTCTGGGAATCCTTTGTGTAGAATTTCTGGGCAACTTCCGAAAGAGCTTGTAGCGCGATACAGGTATCCTAAAGTAAGAATATAGTTACAAACACGTGCAAATATAGACATTTCTTCATTGGAAGTGCTCACATATGTTATTCTCTGATGCGTTCATGAGAATTATTCAAATTTTGTATCTTCGGGCTGCTGTTAACGATGCTGAAGTACGATTGGTGTAACGCTTTCGATAGACTGAATATGATTGATTAATATGGAATGCAATAGGCAATTCCAACTTTTAATTTATGCGTGTAGGGGGCGACGGGAAGTAAGGCATATACTTTTTGATTATGCTGAAAAATATCAATAAAAACTGCCAAAATAACCGAAATGTTTCAATATTTATATCAATTTCGTTCCCAGGGTTTTCGTGTGAAGACGAGTGAAGAGAAGTGAAAGCCCTGGTCTGGGCCAGTCACGTGATACGGGCTTGTTTGACAGCTACTCGTCAATGAGCGTCGACATATTCTTAACTGAACGATACAAGTTTTCGAAACGAATAAACAGCCAAAACACTTCTCAATCGATCGATATTATTCATGAAAAGCGAAGCTTGGCACGAATCAGCTGAAATCTCTGAAGACACCGTCGATGTTTTCTAAAATATACCGATATTTCTGGAGATTTTCAACCACGTACTGTAACAGGCAAAATAACATACTCCAGATCGCGATTTGACTTTCCGAATACCCTGGTTGAACCTATGGTTGAACCTCACGAACACCACCATGGACCATGACAATTTGTATGCCTCGTTCTCGTTGCAAATTTTTGTATGTCGCAACGTCTGGCTCTCTGGCTGTTTATCGAAATATTTTTCAAGGTAAGATATACGTTTGATCACAAACAACAATGTGTTTTGGTCGAAGTATTTTACCCGTTGAAACTTGAAACGAATGAATTAACTGTAGTCAAATTATTAAATTTTTAGGTGCATACAAGTTTTCATATATAAATTATAAACAAGTGAAGCTCGTCGATCGTCAGTTTGTAACCGAGCAAAAATCTGATTGAGCTTGATTGAGCATCGTTCTTCAAGGTATAAATAATCACAGTGATAGTTTATTATTAATATTGGTATTATATGGGAATATCAATTGAGCAGTATGCCAGTATCGTGCCTGTATTGGAACACACAATTGTATAGCAATGAAAAATTATCTGACTTGTACAAAGATATTCCTATAGCGACCCAGTATGGATTGTTGTCTGCACATATTATTAAACTTACCAGCAGTTACATGTAATAACATGTCAACCGACTTTTGTAAAAGGTATATGACGGTCCATAAAAATATATCTCTGAGATACGTCCATTGTTAGCATAATATGAAATAATCCTACCAGCCTACATTTATATATTCACCTGGCTGTGTCACTACAGTACTCAGGGGCCGATTACATGGAAAACTTTCAACCCCGGGGTTGAACTCAGCCTTGTTAACCGGGTTGATTTTTTTTTGCGATTACATGGACGATTTCAACCCTGGGGTTGAAACGCTATACTACATGTTCTCGGCATCGATTCCGGAGATTTAAGTAAAAAAGCCCTCATTTTGTTTTCTTGTGATAAATAGCCACTACCACGCATGCTCGAATAAGTCATGATAATTTTAGCCCTGGGTTAAAAAGATTACATGACAAAATTGTGCTAGCTGAAGCAGGGTTGAAATTTCAACCCCGGGGTTGAACTCAGTCCTGGGTTGAAAATTTTGTCATGTAA